AATGGGCTACCCCAGTGTTTGGTAATCCTATGGATATCCTAACTCAAAAGCTTAAGCGCTTAAAAAATCGTCTCAAATCTTGGAGCGGTGAAGCCTATGGTAATGTATCTGCAATAATAGAGGATCTCAGGAATCAACTTGCTATGGTTCAACAAGCACTTGATTTGCTGCCTATGGACAGAGAGCTACAAGTCAAGGAATCAAGCACTTGATATCCGGCCGGATTCTGGCCAGTAAGCAAAAAAATTTGTCCTCCTCTGTGTATTCGGCCGTGAATCCGGCCAAAAATTGGCCGGATTCCTGGCCGAATTTTTATTGTAGAAATCTCTAATTGCAGAAGTAGATCTGAGGTCTCGGATCTATACGGATCATAGCTCGGATTCATTGAATCTGCACTTATTGCAGAACTTTCAGCAATTTTCAATTTGACCCCAATTCGAAACACACTCTCCAATTCGTGCTCTATAATGAAATTTTGAACAATTCAACACTTCACACACATGGAAAGTGACTTAAACATGAATCTCAACACATCAAAACAAATCAAAGACATGTAGAATCCAAATTGAGGGTTGAGATTCTTCGATCAAATAGTCCCCTCGTCACTTCCAATGCACGTGATGGTACTCAAATGGTTCAAAAGAGTGCAAATAGGTCATGACCACATTTAAACACTTGAATGCACTTTAATTTCATGCAAATAATTGAATTAACCTCATATCATGAAGTTAAACATTGTAAACTCAAAAATAAAGGTTAAGTTTCTTTTTTTCACGTCGGTATCCACTCCTTATAAGATCTTTTGCACTTGAAACAATTCACATGAACCCTTGCCATTGCCACCTGTAAAACACACAAAAACTGTTAAAAATAAGAAATCGTTGGTTTGCCTCCCAACAAGCGCTTCTTTTTAGTCATTAGTTTGACTATATAACGTCATTATCTACAAGATTTAGTTAACGAATTATCCACCATTTTTGGACATGGTGAATCATTAAAAGGTGACTCGATCACATGAGTCACGTGTTCTAATGATATGAGAGGTGGAAGTAGCTTATCTAACTCAAGTGAATGGTAGATATTACCTTGAACATGCATCACTTAAGCACTCACCAAAGGACCATCTACATGGTTCTCTTGGGCTATAATACCTTTAGAACCTATACAATCAACATATTCTTCAAGAGGGTGAAAAATGAGTCATTAAGGTTCACCTCTTAAGGTTCAATGTTAGCTCCAAAGGTACTATCTTCTGAAATGGACATTTTCTCATTGAAACACAAATTGGATTCATCATTTTGATCAAAATATAATCCATTTTCACTTGCAACATTCCCACCATTCATAATAGGTTCATTTTGCATATTATTAGAAGAAATAACTTCAATCAATACATGTAATTGTTCTTGTATTCTACAAAAGTGAGAGGTTAATTCATATAATCTTTCCTCAACCCTATCAAAACGATCGGAAGTCGAATTAGCTAGCTTTTCCATGGCTAACTCCCAAGATGGCTTAGAATCGTTAGCTAATGGTTCACTTTCTAATTCCAAAGGTGAAGGTGCATTAACTAACCTTTCTATTGCCAATCCCCAAGATGGTTTTGATTCATAATTGACACATTCAGGTGGATAATCATAAAAATAGAATTAATTAATTATATAAGTACATTAATTATCCTAACCAAAAGTAGAAGAATTGCCCCTATTAGCACCATATTGATCAAAACAAGAATTATAATGCCCCAATTCATCATAATAATCCACATTTTGTACTTGCATACATGTATAAGTAGCATGATAACCTCCACACAAGTCACAAATCATTTGATTAGAATTAAAAGCATGAACATTCCTCTTTTGCTCAATTTCATGCATAATGGCATCCATTTGAATTTGTAACGTTATAACATCAAGTTTAGCCTTTAAACACTTTAAACCATTTTTGAAAGACATACCTTCGGTAATTTCTTGGTTACCTCTATCAAAGGTGCAACTTGCTCATCATTAGTATGTTTCATCCATAAAAATTGGATGATTTCTATTTTTTGGAAAGTTTCCTAAATCGAAAAGTTTCTATTTTTAGAAAGTTTCTTAATTTGGAAAGTTTCCCTTTTTGTAACACTTCTTAATTTGGAAAGTTCTCCTTTTTGTGAAGTTCTCTAATTTAAAAGAAAATAATTATTCATAATCATATTTATTATCTCGACTATTATCTTACTATACATATATATTTATTATTATTTTATTGTTATTCATTATTATTGTTATCGTCTTTGGCATCACTATTTTATTTTATTACCATTTATATACTTGTTAATTAATTACTATTATCTTTTGCTTTACTCCCATTTTTATGCATGTGTAGATGTTATTATTATTTATGTGTACATGTATATATATATTGACTTATTATTATAATTATTGTCTTAAATTGTTTCACTTGTATTTATATTTTATTTTCGTTTATATCCTTAATTTGCTTCATCCATATTATTATTATTATTATTATTATTATTACTAATATTTTAAGCATTTCATTCAACAATCTAGAGCTTATCTTACATTGTATAACTTAATCTAATAATGCTAGGTTAAAATGTTTTAGATTTCTATTTAAGTACTTTAGACTTAATTAAATAAAGTATAAGTTTAAATGACTAAATCTTTAAACTCCAAAAATTATTATTTAGATTGGGTTTTGCAATTTAATTCCTATGTTAGTCCATAAAAAAGTGGACTAATTATACCTAAAATTTAACTATTGGACATTCACTAAACTCATACTATATTTTTGTTCCCAAATATACTTGTCCTTTTTTTTTCTAAATTTCATTATTATTTTTATTATTCACAATCTGTTTTTTTTTTCTTTCTTTTCTCAGCCAAAGGGAGGAGGGTCATCAGACCTAGGTTGGCCAAAAGGCCACCCTTCCTACTTGTGCTGGCAACCTCCTTTTTTTGTTTCCCCTTCGGCCAACCTTTCTTCTTGGTCAAGGTTGCCAACCGGCGACCTTTGCCATTTTTTTTTTTTTTTTTATACTTTCCAACAGATTTGGGTAAATCCTATTCATCTCATAATTAAAATCTAACACACTAATTTCACATATTCAGATACGAATCTTCCTAAAATTTTCATGCAGGCATAAATATATCGCAAACTATATATACATAAAATCCCCAAAATAGTTCATGGAATTAATACTATTTAAGAGAAAAAACTTTAATGCGCGTTCGGGAGTTACAGGTTTAAACGCTTAATTGCCTACTTGTTCGACGGCGACGTCTTTTTCTCCTTCTCTACTTTTTGACGGCTCTTACTCTAAGGGGAAGCAGGCAATGAAAGGTAGAGAATATGTTATTTTTTTTGTTATTTGATAATTGTGCTAAACCCTAATAACCACCCACTAGTAGGTGGTTTAGATAGGAATTTTAACTGTTGTAAATTTTTACCCTATCTTATCTCCTCCTATCCCTCAATTAACCCATTAACCTAACCTGTAACTATTTTTTGCTTTTACCTATGATAAATTACCATTTAATTTAATTGGGAAAGACTAAAAAAAAACAGAGCCGAAAAATCGTGGGTTTTACAGCATTTGTCAATGTCATGCCAATAATTGAGCTTATGATTGAGCTGAGTTGCATGATTGGCATCACAATGCCAGCAGCTGATACTTATTAAACCTGGGCCTTTTGTTGAACTTGATTTCTCAGCGGCAAGGACGTGGAGGTGGAGCCCTAAACAATAATGTAACACTGAACAAGTGGCTTCTCCACAAAAATCTTGAGCCAAGAAAATTTTCCCTTCCTCATAAAATGCAACGCAACCTGCACGTCTCTAAACAAAAAAAAAAAAAGAATGAATGAACGAACAAGAGGGAGGAAGAAGACAGACAATTAGTCTAGAAGAGGGAGAACGAATCACGCATGCACGCACCTTTGTGTTGTGAGTTGTTGTGATAATATGCATCAAGTGATTGACAGTGTCCGGAAATTAACATGAGATTCGATAAAACGCTGAGAGAGTTGAACATTGCATCGATGCCAAAGGAGTTCATAGATATAAGGGACAGGATTTTGACAAAGTCAGCCGGCAACTCAGCCGGTTCAGAAAGTAATTTTCACTTTAGTTATGAAATTTAGGGTGTTTATGTGGAGGTTTTTAAACAATAAGGGGGTAAGGTGTCTTTTCGCGAAACCACAAGGGGGTTCCTTGTATTTTACCCAAAACTGTCAGGATCCAAGCGCGGAACAAACAACTATTGAGATATCAAGTACACAACAATTTAATGATAAACAAGTCACAAGTATGAAAGATAAATGACACACAATATTTAATGTGGTTCGGTTCTACCATTGAGTCTACGTCCACGGAGAGAAAATCCATTCTTTATTATGAGAGGAAAACCCTATACAAGAATATAACTTGAACCCAAGTCTAATCCTTGTATACCATCTCTCATCTTCCAAGAACCGTCTCTTACCACCCCATGTATAAGGCTACATGTTGCCTCTTGTATGCCTTTGTGTATCTCTTTGTATTATATCAGCCCATCTATTTATAAAGAACATTATTTAGCCAAAACCCAAATAATAATAGGACACCAATTCTAATTCCTAGACTTGCATAGAATAGGAAATAACTTCTAATCCTAAACTAAATAGAATATTGCTTGGTTAATATTTCAAGTAACTAAAACCAATTAGAAAACTAGTTACTTCCACATAAAACAAGAATTCTACCTAAAAGAAATTAAACCAATTTCCTAACAAAAACAATATGTAAAACTCTTGAGATTAAGCATAAACTTTCGAAAAAAAATTTTTTTTTGCTTTTGATACCTTAAGAACATATCAAATTTATATTGAAATGTAAGAGTCAAGAATTTTGCCTTTTACTAGTTAAAACATAATAAAATTACACTAATTTACACTAATAAAATTACACTAAGGTTACGTCATAAAGTTCCACAAATAGAAGACAGAAGACTCAGGAACCATTGGCCAACTCATCTATTTAAAGAGGGGGGGACCTCGAAAGCTTCCAAGACCACACTTAGCTATGGCAATGCAAGTCACTTTTGTGGTTGCCCTTCTTCTACTCCCCCTTCATCTCCTAAATGCAAGAACTGTCATAACTTCATTCAATCGAAGCAGCTTTCCTGATGATTTTGTATTTGGAGCTTCCTCAGCTGCCTATCAAGTACACTTGATCTTGTTAATTCACCACCTTTTTCTTTCCTTTTAACTTTCCACCCTTCCCGCACTCTTTTCACTTCCAATAGTCAGACATAGAATTCGAAAACTGAATTTGGCATCCTGTGTTTACTTCACGAAAAAATAAAATTACCAGTCCCATTTTTGCAGTCCCTGTACTTTTACCAATTTTTTCTTTTTGAAATGAAAAAAAAACTGTATTTTAAATTTTTATTTCCTTTTGTGCATTTATCCTAATGGTAATTTAAAGTGTGAATGTTTATCTTTTCTTGTTCCAGTATGAAGGTGCAGCATTTGAAGGTGGGAAAGGTCCAAGTATCTGGGATACATTTACCCATAAATATCCAGGTCTGTATATGTGACACTAATGCTCAATTCAATATGAAACCACAATTTTTGTTACGAACTTCTCTAACCAGCGCTTCAACTAATTAAAACATATATTTTTTCATCTGTACTACATTTACCTGAGTGGTTTACTGTAAAAAAAGAAGCGCTTACTACTTTCCTTTTTTTTTTTGATGAGGTCAAAAAGTACAATGAAGGGCAATGCTAAATCTACCCTCTTTGTCCTAAACTCAAGCCTTAATTGTATTGTTAGCAAAGAACTGATAAAAATATGTTGAATTAACAACTACAAATGAAAAAAAAAACTAATGTCTTTCTTTCTATGGTAATCAAACAGCTTAAAAATGTGAAGAAAAGAAATAATTTGCAATAAACTGAGGGTTGCAATGGCAAATCAGTACGCACAATTGATACAAACACAAGGTAGCAATGCTGTAACAATTGTAACAACACGAGGCAGCAAATGCCAGATTTGGAGTCTCTTCTTTGCCCTTGTTAATCCAATCTGCTTTTATCACATCCAATAGTATACATGGGCTATAAGCAAAAGCATTGAGAATCCACATCCCTGAAGATTAGAATTATCAGGAAATAATCCCGTAATAAATGCAATGTGATATGTGCAAGCTTAAGAGTCCAAGGCCTTGTTTGGATTGTATTTTCTAGGATTTTTTGTAGAAAAATTACTATAGCTAATTGATGTATGTGAGAAAAAAAGGTAATAGAAAAATGTGATCACGGAAAACGACACAATTTTTTGATGAAAAATGACTGTCCAAACGGGGCCTTTGCCTTTTGCCGACACTTCATGTGACATCTTAACCACACTTTTTCTCAAACATTAGAACTTTTTTTGCAGGGAAAATCTTGAATGGAAGTAATGGTGATGTAGCCGAAGACTTTTATCATCGATACAAGGTATATTATTATTATCACAAAAAAGTATGAACATAATGTTGATTAATACTAGACGAGACGGAGAGTTAATTGATTAACTAGTAATTAACAATATTTGTTGTTGCATGTTATTTATTTTCTTTTCCCAGCCGAACTTTTCAGCTTGACGTATATTTTTAAGCAGAAAAGATGTGGAGTTTAAGAAATAAAAAGGAAGAACTAAGAAGGAAAGTAACTCTTGACGTTAAGTTTGATACACATTTTACTTGTCCTTGAATTACAAAATTTGACGAAGAGCCCTTCAAGTCGGACAAGAGTCATGCATGTAGATAATTTACAGACTGTATCACATCATTGTAGGGTAGACAGTACTTTTCAACGTACAAATGTTGGGCAATGACTGGGGACATGGCACATGGTCTAGGACCAATCAATGCCACAATTGGATGATTGCATTTTGTTTGAGACGATGTACGAAATCAGTCCAAACAGTTTTTTTTTTTTTTTTTTGTTCTTTTGAAGAAAACGAGCATTTTCAATCAGTCCAGACAGTTCGTTTTAAAAAATTTTGAATCTTGATGACAAAATTTTTTTTATAATCATTTCTTTGATTCTAGAGAATAAACTCGAAAAACTTTTATTAATCACCTCAAAAGCTTATTCAAGGGAAATAGAAAAAAAATTAAATACATGAGGAAAAAACACTGTAACAAATAATTTGTGATTATATGAAAATATATCTTCAAATTTTTCTATATATGAAATTTTGATAAGCTATTTTTCAGTTTTTTCTATTCATTTTTGTAATTTACATATAAACGAAATCAATCTAATTACCGTAATTTTTTGTACCCCACAAAAAAAATTTCTTTTTTATGACGGCCTCAAAAATTCTTTTTTGTTTCACATTATCCGATAGAGACTTGCCTCATATCGGATGTAACTATTTTTTTATGAGATCGTCTATTTCTGTACCAACAATAACTAAAAATAAGATTAATTGCCTTTTCATTTGAGCCAGAGCACATAAATGTGTCGTAATCTACGTAATTCTCAATGCAATGAATACTACGCGCCTACGGATGGAAGGGTTCCATCATTGGCGTTAAAAGGAGACACACGGGACACTGACAAGGGGAAGAGTACGGCTGCAACTTGCAAGCAATTCGAGCAGTTGCGAGTTGTGTCCGTCAAAACTTGATTGGAGCTCGATTAATTTTGAGTTCGGATCATTGTAGCAAGACTATCGAGTTATGTCCGAGTGTAAATATACTTGGCTCATATTGGCGCGTCAAACTTGCTCGATTTTATATATTTTAAATTAATTTTTTATTAGTATTTAAATTGCATAAATGTCTCCCACACTTTATTATTTATTAGAGTAAAATACCTACTTTATCCATTTTAAAAGATACTACAACTTTTAATTTGATCTCAACTAAGCTCAAAACGAAGTTTAAGATCGTGCTTGAGTTTTACAGTAAAAACTTGATCAAGTTTATATCTGAACGTTTGACAACAAAAAAAAGTTTATATCTGAAAAAATTGAATCAAACTCTGCTTAATTAAACTAAAATTTGACTAGACTCACCTATTTATAACCGTAAATAAGAGGACACGTAGAGCCCTACCTATGAGTACCATCATGGGACTCAAAAGGGCGGATACAAGGAGGGGATGGGAACTGAACACCTTCCACTAGTTGGGACAACTTGACTGGTCTATATATATATGTACCACATCGGAAAGTTAGTAATGGTATGTTTCATGCCTTATTGTCTTACAAGTAATTAAAAGTTTCTTCTTCCTATATACGCTTGCTAAATACTACTTCAGTCTCAAGTAGTTGAACAATGTAGTCTGCTTCTAAGTTTTCTTGAGATTGCTATTTTGATTTTTCATTTTTAGTTCAAATTAAGTGCTTATTCACAAGTAATTTGCACGCCATCTGATTATCGCCTTTTTTTTTTTTTCCCTTTTAATGTATTGGCAACAGGATGATGTCAAATTGATGAAGTTTATTGGACTGGATGCTTTCAGATTTTCCATCTCCTGGCCCAGAATATTGCCTCGTAAGACATACCACAAAAACTATTGCTCAAAATTGGCGTGGCTATAGGCCAATAGCCCATCAAATTTGTTCATTTTCCAACTCATTGAATCATTCGTACTTCTTCTTGTGACGCACCATAACAAAGTTCAATAGTCAGATTCAGAATAATTTGATGTATAATAATTAAGCGGTTTGTCTAATGTGTGTTCAAAGCAGACGGAATAATAAGATTGCCGAGTTTTAGTCTTTTGAAAAGCAAAGTCAAGCTAATAAACTATCTGATTGTCTATATACATGGGGACCACTATATTTGCAATTTTACATAGCAAATTAAGTGCACGATAGATGTACAAATAAAAATTATTGATCAAAATTGGTTTGATTATTTATAGCTTATAAGTTTACTCGTCATTTTTGTTATTCACATTTTCAGGCGGGAAGCTAAGTGGAGGTGTTAACAAGGAAGGCGTAGCTTTCTACAACAATCTCATCAATGAGCTCATATCAAATGGTTCGTTAGCTAATTTTCGTTCGTTAACCGCTTCCGTGGAACAAACATTTTTCTTTATTGAGTTACTTATTAACAATTTTTCCTAATATCGTACTTAGGTATAAAGCCCTTCGTGACAATCTTCCATTGGGACGTTCCCCAAGCACTTGAAGACGAGTACCACAGCTTTTTAAGCCCTCTCATTGTGTAAGTAAAAGCTAATGGAAGTTCGAACTCTTTTTTAGCTAATGGAGGTCGAAGCTATTACATCATTTAATCTAAAAATTATTTATAACTATGAGTTTTTCCAACCTCACATAGGCGGATCTAGGTGCAATCGTAGGCAATAGTTGATGGTCCAAATTTACTATCAAGGTCTAGATGAAATTTGGACCGTCAAATTTCAAATGAACAACCCAAATTCTAGACTCTTATGGTAATTAAGGGAGTCAATTGTACGATACAATTGCACCTACAACCACACCAGACCCCAATCCCGGGCAGGCCGTCTATCACTAGTGGGTGAAATAGCTTGTTGCGGTTTCATTTTTACTTTTGAGGAAAGAGTTTTGACATTAGATTCATGAAAAAATGCATCCATATATTATGTCTAAAGAAAATGACCATCCATGTACCTTAAGAACATGACCTTCTAACTTGATCCACTTTTTCCAGAACACAAATAGGACAATACAGAAGATGAATTTGAGCATGGCCTACATTAGCCACGTTCAATTTTCTAAACAAAAATGGTTATGTCATGATCGCCAGTAAGCACTTTGATTCCAACTATTAATGGGAGCAATCTACTAAGAAATTGACACGATGTCAAATAAGCATATTTTGCCTTTATCCAAAAAAGATAAAATAACAAATTCCACTTTCACTAATTGATAATTGCACCTATAACTATGACAATATTGATCAACAACTTTCTATAAATGTACAGGGTCGACAAAATTACTTGGAATATTTTAGGGTCGAACCCACAGGAATGAGTTAATCTCCTACTTTAATTATTTTAACGAATTGCAAAAGCCAAATTTAAGGATTAAACCACTGATTAAGAAGCAAAATTCAATTAGAAAGTGGTTGAGAAAACAATAGATGGAAGTCTAGGGTTTTAGGTTTTAATCCAAAATTTGAGTCAATTATCTAGTTAATTTCTTAATAAATCATGAACGCATCACACAATTATATTTTATATTATCTCTCGATACATCTAAAGTGTGCCTAATTAAATCTTATGTCTCTTTCGAACTCACAAGTATTCAATTAAATCCTTTAAGAACTTTAGTGATATAAGTGGGTTATACAAACCCTAACCTACTCTCATGATTAAATTAAGTATGCTTATCTATTATAAGGCTGTATCTTACTTCCCAGTTTAATACGAACCCAAAGATCATGTTTATGGTGATCAAGCATAAACATGTAACTAAAATCAAGATAGATAAATCACAGTAAAAGACAAGAAATTAAACCAGAAAAATTAATCAGATTCCTTCATAAAAATCCTAACCCTAGAAATAAATTTAGTTCAATATAATTGGAAAATTAAAACCATGAATTCAAAGAGTTAATACAAAGATGAGAATAAGAGAAAGAAAACTTCTCAGTTGCTTGCTCCGATCTCTTTCTTGTGTGCTCCTTGATTCGCCAACGTTTGATCTTGATTTCTCAAGAATAAACTATGAAAAAATATTAGAACTAAACTAGGCTAATATTTTCTAACCCCAAAAAACGTCCTAAGTACTCTTATTTATAGCCTCTTCAAGTCCCAGTTGAATTCCAAAAGGAATAGGTTTCTTAAAACTGAAGAAAGCGAGTCGGCATACTTTCGCCATGAACTCCGCCACGAACTCCAGTCCTGCACCGGAGTTGTATCGAAACTCAAAAGTGGCCAGAACCAGAAGAATACCGACGAGAAGACCAAATTAAAGACTGGCGCCGGTTATTGAGGATCTGCGCTGGGATCGCTATGGATCCGTCGGCAGATCCTTTTTATCCAGGCAAACTCTCGTTTGCTTTTATTCCTTCCACTTTTATTGCATTTACAGTCCAATACTTGATCAATTGTGAACTTCACTTGCACCAACCGACAACAACTCAAATGAGATATATATATATATATATATCAAAGTAAGCTTACAAACCCCAATAAATAATTGGTTCACTTGTAGAAAACTACTATAATTCCGACCCTTTCCAATCATATTTCCAGGGATGACTACTTAGATTTTGTAGAGCTGTGTTTCAAGGAATTTGGTGATCGAGTGAAGCATTGGATTACCATGAACGAGCCATATATTTTCATTAATGGAGGTTATGATGGGGGAACTCTGGCTCCCGGTCGCTGCTCTGCTTGGCTAAACAACGATTGCCCAGCAGGAAATTCAGCAACTGAGCCTTATATAGTCGGACACCGAATGCTTCTTTGTCATGCAGCAGCTGTAAAATTATACAGAGAAAAATACCAGGTCAGCAATGTCATTTCTCGTTCCCGTAGCTAATTAACTATCTAAAAATCATTGATACTAATTAATGCTAGAATTTGTTTGTTGGCTCGTTTGAACTAATGTTCATTTTGGCGCATTTGACGTCTCAATTTTGTTTTTGAAAGACGTCTCACATAAAAAGAGCATCTCTACGTTACAAGTTAAGACTCTTAGTTAACCCTCAATGAACATAGGTTCTTTAATCTTCAGCATGCATCGCCAATTTTGTATCAATCCCATGAACCCTGAAATCATATTAGTGAAGGTAATTTCTGTGCATGAGTAGATGTTAAATGCATGATTGAAACTTCAATTTGCAGGCAAGTCAAAAAGGAGAGATAGGGATTACATTGGTGTCTCACTGGATGGAACCGTACTCTAGAAGCAAGCTTGACATTCTTGCAAAACAAAGAGCTCTTGATTTTATGTATGGATGGTGAGTTTGGACAACAATTCTCTTTGCAAACATTGAATTCTTTCTGGTTCAACTGCGTCAATCGTCAACTTCAAGGAATAGGAATTGTATTCCTGTTCTAGATTTATTGTTTGCTCTTTTCCATTTTCTATCTAGGCAGCACAAAGTAGTACAGGTATTTATCTGAAATTTACATTGACTAAAAACTATAGTTGTAAGACAAGACATCCAAATTAGTGGTAATACTAATGATTCTACAATTCAAAATTCAGGGCTGGCATTTTGTCAAGAAAAAATAAATAATAGTTCTTAAAATAAATTAAATTAGAACATAAACTTTTGGTGCTTCATCTATCTTGTCTAAGCAATCTTATCTAGTCAGCCTAGAAGTAAAAATAATTTTTTTAAAAAATTTATCAGCCCAGCAGTCACGTGCAACTTTTTCTTAAAACACAAGCCGACAGCTATCATCTAAAGCCCAAAAAAAAAAAAAAAAAAAAAAAGTTATGTGGGGATATTAGATGATGGGTCCCCATTCTGATGGTTCCTGCAGTTGCTTCCAGTATCATATGTGGGGATGGATTGTGGATTCTCCATGGTTCTAGATTTATTCAAAGTTAACCCATCAATCTGCATGAATTCATTTTTGTAAACTCATTTAAATTCATTTTTGTTAATTAAATTATCAGTTTACACCATCTTTTGCACCAGTCATTAGTTTTAAATATTTACTTATAATGTTTAATAAGCCTAATTATTATTTTTTTTATCCGTACTTTTTGTCATAAAATTACATACTATTTAATAATTGAATAATAAGAATATAAAAATTTGAACTAAGTATTATAAAAGTTAACATAAAAACTTAATGCAAAATTTTGAACCCCTAGTATTTTTTTCATGTGTAAATTTAAAATTTCATTTTGGAAAGGTAGGGAAAGAGGCAATAACTTGTTACAAATTAGTAATGATGAAAAATGAGCAAATTAACAAATTAAAAGAAATAAACTAATAAGATAAAACTAACAAATAATAATAATAATAATAATAATGAGCACAATAACTGGACGTAACAATTTCCGTAGTGTAGTGCAGCTGTTGCGAAAAAATTGTAAGGTCGGTATAATAGTTCAATGGGCAAAAATGATTTATGCTAATATACCATTGTATACCAAAAGATTTTTTTTTTTTGGGAAAAAATCAAAAGGTTTTCAATTGCCGGGCATTTGGTTACAATCTGGGATTAGTTAGATATCCATATCAGACTAGAATGCGTCGAGAGTAATAATGGAAGCAAAATAATTAACCATGGAGTTTGTCAACTTCCAATATCTGACACATTGCCGCAGTCGTTTTTTTTTTTTTTCCCGCCTTCCATGATGGCACAGGCCGGCAGCCATCTTAATTTTTTTTTTAAAAGGTTGCATCTGGGCTGCCGGGCTTTGTCAGCTTAGAAGCCCCAAAATTTAAAAAAAAAATCATTTTTTTTTTTTACTAAGCTCAATAGCTATAGTTTCGTACTACAACCCTGTCAGAATCTTATTTTTGCAAATTTTTTAGAACAATAATATGAGCACTTAGCCAAATAAATTACAAAGGAACCGCACAACTATAGCATGCATCTTTTGGTCTCCTAAGTAAGGGAGAAACAGGAAATAGCATTAGCGAAAAATGAAGAACTACTAAGGCTAAACCTAGTGACGTGAGGAGCTGCAAATAGAGTGATGCAAATAGGCCGCAATAACCTGAACATATCAACCAATACCAACGCAAACACTCTCTTACCATTCATCCAGGCAACTCTCCTTTTAGATTGTTAGATACTATATACTTGCACCAACTCTGATTGTACTGTCGTAGACGAAAGGCAAGAAAAATAAGAGTTTCTGTCTAGTGGGTTATTAAAAGAGCAAATCTTTAGGCAACGAAAATAAGAGTTTCACAGTTTACTTAGAGTTGGCATCGCTCCCCTGTATACGGGATTTGCCAACCAAAAAAAAAAAAAAAAATCTCCTCCAAGCATTTATATATATAATGAAGTTCCACTTTGATGCATTAAACACGTTTAAAAATTTATTGTGATCCAGAAATAGACATAAAAGTTACGTCATAAGGTTCCATAAATAGAAGACAGAAGACAGAAGACTGAGGAACCACCCTTTTTTTTCATTCTTTTCACTTCCAGTAGTCAGACACACAGAATTCGAACACTAAACTTGGTATCTTGTGTTTACTTCAAGAAAAAAAAAATTGCCAGTCCCATTTTTGCAGTCCCTATACTTTTGCCATTTTTTTCTTTTTGAAATGAAAAAAAAAATGTATTTTAAATTTTTATTTCCTTATGTGCATTTATCCTAATGGTAATCCAAACTGTGAATGTTTATCTTTTCTTGTTCCAGTACGAAGGTGCAGCATTTGAAGGTGGGAAAGGTCCAAGTATCTGGGATACATTTACCCATAAATATCCAGGTCTGTATGTGTGACGACACTGATGCTCAATTCAATATGAAACCACAATTTTTTTTACGAATTAACGCATTTACTTTTTCATCTGTACTGCATTTACCTGAGTGGTTTACTGTAAAAAAAGAAGTGCTTGCTACTTTCCCTTTTTTTTTGATGAGGTCAAAAAGTACAATGAAAGGAAATGCTAAATCTACCCTCTTTCTTTTTAAGGTAATCATACAGCTTAAAAATATGAAGAAAGGGCAAAAAGCCTATTTGGTCCTCTAAGTTTAATGATTTTAAACTTATCCAATTACCCATAAATATCCAGGTCTGTATATGTGACACTGATGCTCAATTGAATACGAAACCACAATTTTTGTTACGAACTTCTCTAACCAGTGCTTCAACTAATTAAAGCATTTATTGTACTGCATTTACCTGAGTGGTTTACTGTAAAAAAAAGAAGTGCTTGCTACTTTCCCTTTTTTTTTATGAGGTCAAAAAGTACAATGAAGGGCAATGCTAAATCTACCCTCTTTGTCCTAAATTCACGCCTTAATTGTATTGTTAGCAAAGAACTGATAAAAATATGTTGAATTAACACCTACAAATAAAAAAAAAAAAAAACTAATGTCTTTCTTTCTATGGTAATCTAACAGCTTAAAAATATGAAGAAAAGAAATAATTTGCAATGCACTGAGGATTGCAATGGCAAATCAGTACACAGAATTGATACAAACACAAGGTAGCAATGTTGTAACAATTGTAACAACACGACGAGGCAGCAAATGCCAGATCTGGAGTCTCTTCTCTGCCCTTGTTAATCCAATCTGCTTTAATCACATCCAATTAGCATACATGGGCTATAAGCAAAAGCATTGAGAATCCACATCCCTGAAGATTAGAATTATCAGGAAATAATTCCATAATAAATGCAATGTTAAATGTGCAAGCCTTAGAGTCTTTGCCTGATGCCGATAATTCATGTGACATCTCAAGCATACTTTTTCTCAAACGTTAGAACTTTTTTTTCAGGGAAAATCTTGAATGGGAGTAATGGTGATGTTGCCGAAGACTTTTATCATCGATACAAGGTATATTATTATTGTCGCAAAAAAGTATGAACATAATGTTGACTAATGCTAGACAAGAGGGAGAGTTGATTGATTAACTAGTAATCAACAATATTTGTTGTTGCATGCCATTCATTTTTTTTTTCCTAGCTGAACTTTTCAACATGACGTACATTTTTAAGCAGGGAAGACGTGGAATTTAAGAAACAGAGAACCAAGAAAGGAAGATTGAAACTCAGGACGTTTTAAGTTTGATATACATTTTGCATGTTTATGAATTACAAAATTTGACGAAGAACCGTTCAAGTCATGCATGTAGATAATTTACGCACTGTATCACATCATTGTATGGTAGACAGTACTTTTCAACATACGCAAGTGGTGACATAGTTACTTCTGGCCTTACAATTAATTACTATAAATAATGTCCCTAATTGACAATTAGTGCAAGGTTATATGGCCCTCAAACTTCCAAAAAATATTATACCCTAAGGAATTATCAAGTGGAGATGAAGCCACCGTCCACCGGACAAATAATGTGAAAACATAAAAGAATAATAGAGGGACAAGCTACAAATCCAACTCAAAGCATGGAAAATATATATCTAGTAGTAGGTAGTAGGCACTTCTCTTATTACTGGTTGTTAAGTTCTGGATCATATGATTGTGATTTGTGATAGAAAATAATTGAAGATCCCATTAGAGCTAAAAGTCTATTGGATACCCAGTTTTCTGCATCCAGACACCTTAGTTACACAATTCATGCGTCCATAAAAGTACCATGAATAAGCTAGTTGTCCCAATCTAGAAAATTGACATGGATTTTTTTTTTATTGCATTTCTTCTTCTTCTTTTTTTTTTTGTGAGACAACTATGTATTAACGTGGAAATTAAAGTAAAATACTATTAGTAAACACAACAAATTAACATGCAAAGATCAACAAAATGCCTCTTTTTTTCTTCTATCATTTTTTATTGTTTCAAGTAAATGGCTCTGTTATTTACTACTAAAAATATTGTTTTACAAGGCTATAGAGAGCTCATTTGATTTGGTACCTGGAGAAAAAATAATTAAAAACATGTTCAAAAAACATAAAAAAAAAATTACAATCCAAACAAGTTCAGACAGTTCGTTTTAAAAGATATTGAATCTGATGACAAAATAGTTTTTTATAATCATTTCTTTGATTCTAGAGAATAAACTCAAAAAACTTTTATTAATCACCTTAAAAGCTTATTCAAGGGAAATAGAAAAAAAAATTAAATACATGAGGAAAAAAACACTGTAACAAATAATTTGTGATTATACGAAAATATATCTTCAAATTTTTTCAGATATGAAAATTTAAAAAGCTATTTTTCAGTTTTTCTATTCATTTTTGTAATTTACATATAAACGAAATCTATCTAATTACCGTAACTTTTTGTACCCCACAAAAAAACACAAACATTCTTTCTACACAAGTTACTAGTTGCTTCGCATTATCCGATAGAGACTTGCCTCATATCAGATGTAACTATTTTTTTATGAGATCATCTATTTCTGTACCAACAATAACTAAAAATAAGATTCAGTGCCTTTTCATTTGAGCCCAAGCACATAAATGTGTCGTAATCTACCTAATTGTCAATGAAATGAATACTACGCACCATCTACCCGAGGGTTCCATCATTGACGTTAAAAGGAGACAATGGGAAAAGTACGGCTGCAGGTCCCCTGCAACTTGCAAGCAATTAGAGCTGGCTGGCCAGCAATTGTCAGTTGTGTCCGTCAAAACTGGATTGGAACTCGATTAATTTTGAGTTCGGGTCATTTTAGCAAGACTATCGAGTAATGTCACAGTGTAAATATACTTGACTCATATTGCTGCGTCGAGCTTGCTCGATTTTATATATTTTTAATTAATTTTTATTAGTATTTAAATTGCATAAATGTCTCCCATACTTTATTATTTATTGGAGTAAAATATCTATTTTATCCATTTTAAAAGATACTACAACTTTTAATTTGATCTCAACTAAGTTCAAAACGAATTTTAAGGTCGAGCTTGAGTTTTACAGTAAAAGCTTGATCAAGTTTACAACTGATAAAATTGAATCAAGCTCTGTTTAATTAAACAAGAATTTGACTGGACTCAACTATTTATAACCGTAAATAATAGGTCACGTAGGAACTCTATGAGTACCATCATGGGACTCAAAAGGGCGGATACAAGGAGGGGATGGGAACCGAACACCTTCCACTAGTTAGGACAGCTTGACTGGTGTTTGTAATGCAAAACAACTGCTGATCGGAGAGGGTCAATATATATATATATGTACCACATCAGAAAGTTAGTAATGGTATGTTTCTTGCCTTATTGCCTTACAAGTAATTAAAAGTTTCTTCTTCCTATATGCGCTTGTTAAATACTCCTTCAGTCTCAAGTAGTTGAACAATTTAGTTAAATGCTTCTAAGTTTTCTTCATATTGCTATTTTGATTTTTCATTTTTAGTTCAAACTAATTGCTTATTCACAAGTGATATGCATGCCATCTGATTATCGCCTTTTTTTTTCTTTTAATGTATTGGCAACAGGATGATGTCAAATTGATGAAGTTTATTGGACTGGATGCTTTCAGATTTTCCTTCTCCTGGCCCAGAATATTGCCTCGTAAGACATACAACAAAAACTATTGCTCAAAATTGGCTTGGCTATAGGCCAATAGCCAATCGAATTTGTTCATTTTCTAACTCATTCAATCATTCTTACTTTATCTTGTGACGCACCATAACAAAGTTCAACAGTCATATTCAGAATAATTTGATGTATAATTAAGCCACGGTTTGTCTAATGTGTGTTCAAAGCAGACGGAATAATAAGATTCTCGAGCGTCAATCTCTTGAAAAGCAAAGTCAAACTAATAAACTGACTGATTGTCTATATGCATGGGACCATTATATTTGTAATTTTACATAGCAAATTAAGTGTATGGTAGATGTACGAGTAAAATTTATTGATCAAAATTGGCTTGGTTATTTATAGCTTATAAGTTTACTCTTATTACTCATCATTTTTGTTATTCACATTTTCAGGTGGGAAGCTAAGTGGAGGTATTAACAAGGAAGGCGTAGCTTTCTACAACAATCTCATCAATGAGCTCATATCAAATGGTTCGCTAACTAATTTTCGTTCTTTAACCACTTCCGTGGAACAAACAATTTTTCTTTATTGAGTTACTTATTAACAATTTTTCCTAATATCGTACTTAGGTATAAAGCCCTTCGTGACAATCTTCCATTGGGACGTTCCCCAAGCACTTGAAGACGAGTACCACAGCTTTTTAAGCCCTCTCATTGTGTAAGTAAAAGCTAATGGAAGTTCGAACTCTTTTTTAGCTAATGGAGGCCGAAGCTACTACATCATTTAATCTAAAAGTTATTTATAACTATGAGTTTTTCCAATCTGGTTAATAAAATTGCTATTCTTTGTTAAAAAAAAAAAAGATTTTTTGCAATCTGGATGCAGCATTCATGAGAAACACAGCAATCAATTATTTATGGTATCAAATAGCGTCAGATAAGCCCAATCCTATCTTTTAACCCTTGCCTGCTCCCTATTTTAGGATGGGCTAATCCAATTTACAATAGTTGGCCAAGATTGGATTTGGACTTGATGATTTCGAATGGCTAATATGCAATGTATTAGGAATCATTTTTTATTTAAATTTCGAATGACACTGAAAAGATATTAGAACTAAACTAGGCTAATATTTTCTAACCCCAAAAAACGTCCTAAGTACTCTTATTCATAGCCTCTTCAAGTCCTAGTTGAATTCCAAAAGGAATAGGTTTCTTAAAACTGAAGAAAGCGAGTCGGTGTACTTTCCCGATGAACTCCGCCATGAACTCCAGCCTAAACTCCGGCACTGGAGTTGTATCGAAACTCAAAAGCGGCCAAAACCAGAAGAATAACGGCGAGAAGACCAAATTAAAGACTGGCGCCGGTTATTGAGGATCTGCGCGCGGATCGCTATGGATCCGTCCGCGGATCCTTTTAGTCCAGGCAAACGCTCGTTTGCTTTTATTCCTTCCACTTTTGTTGCATTTACAGTCCAATACTTGATCAATTGTGAACTTCACTTGCACCAACCGACAACAACTCAAATGATATATGTATTCAAAGTAAGCTTACAAACCACAATAAATAATTGGTTCACTTGTAGAAAAGTACTATAAATCCGACCCTATCAAATGTATTTGAAAAAGTTATATATAGCAAATTAAAAAAACCCAATTCCAATCATATTTCCAGGGATGACTACTTAGATTTTGTAGAGCTGTGTTTCAAGGAATTTGGTGATCGAGTGAAGCATTGGATTACCATGAACGAGCCATATATTTTCAGTAATGGAGGTTATGATGGGGGAACTCTGGCTCCCGGTCGCTGCTCTGCTTGGCTAAACAACGATTGCCCAGCAGGAAATTCAGCAACTGAGCCTTATATAGTCGGACACCATATGCTTCTTTGTCATGCAGCAGCTGTAAAATTATACAGAGAAAAATACCAGGTCAGCAATGTCATTTCTCGTTCCCGTAGCTAATTAACTATCTAAAAATCATTGATACTATTTAATGCTAGAATTTGTTTGTTGGCTCGTTTGAACTAATGTTCATTTTGGCGCATTTGACGTCTCAATTTTGTTTTTGAAAGACGTCTCACATAAAAAGAGCATCTCTACGTTACAAGTTAAGACTCTTAGTTAACCCTCAATGAACACAGGTTCTTTAATCTTCAGCATGCATCGCCAATTTTGTATCAATCCCATGAACCCTGAAATCATATTAGTGAAGGTAATTTCTGTACATGAGTAGATGTTAAATGCATGATTGAAACTTCAATTTGCAGGCAACTCAAAAAGGAGAGATAGGGATTACATTGGTGTCGCACTGGATAGTACCGTACTCTAGTAGCAAGCTTGACATTCTTGCAACACAAAGAGCTCTTGATTTTATGTATGGATGGTGAGTTTGGACAACAATTCTCTTTGCAAACATTGAATTCTTTCTGGTTCAACTGAGTCAATCGTCAACTTCAAGGAATAGGAATTGTATTCCTGTTCGAGATTTATTGTTTGCTCTTTTCCATTTTCTCTCTAGTAAGCAAAAAGTAGTACAGGTATTTATCTGAAATTTACATTGACTAAAAACTATAGTTGTAAGACAAGACATCCAAATTAGCGGTAATACTAATGCTTCTACAATTCAAAATTCAGGGCTGGCATTTTGTCAAGAAAAGATAAATAATAGTTCTTAAAATAAATTAATTTAGAACATAAACTTTTGGTGCTTCATCTATCTTGTCTAAGCAATCTTATCTATACATGCTTGCTAACAATGTATCATGGATTTGTGATGGTTTCGCAGGTTTATACATCCATTGATATATGGAGATTATCCTGCAAGCATGCATAAACTTGTTAAGAATCGTTTGCCCAAATTTACCCCGGAGCAATCTAAGATAATCAAGGGTTCTTTCGACTTTCTTGGACTGAATTATTATACAGCAAAATATGCAATTAATATTGCCTCTCAGAATAATATCAACGTTAGCAGCTCTACAGATCCTCTAGTCAACCTCACTTGTAAGTTCTATGGCTGATAATCTGATATTTTTGCCACAAAACCACAGTTAATTCTTCCAATTTATGAATTATGCTATACAAATTCTTGATTATTTTCTTCGTTTCCAGCGGAAAGGAATGGAAAGTTCCTAGGTGATCCGGTATGTCTGGCTGATAATTTCTAGATTTTTCCAAATCCCAACTACACATTCCCTGTTTTACATGGAAAAATATTTAATATTTTTCTGAAAATTCATTGTAGACTGGAGTCAGTATCTTCTATGTCTATCCAAAGGGACTTCGAGATCTTCTTGAATACACCAAGAAAAACTACAATAATCCCACAATTTATATCACGGAGAATGGTACATAAGACAATCTATTATTAAAGCCTTTGCTTCTCTTTTATCTTTTTGTTCTCTCTTGATTGCTCTGATTATTTTCAGGGATTGGTGATGCAAATAATAGCACACGAATAAAAAGTATCAAGGATTTCCAACGAGTTGATTTCTACCATCGCCATCTTTTGGCTGTTCAAGAAGCCATGAAGTGAGTCTCCTTGCTTTTGGTTGTTGTTTGCAATTAAAAGTATGGGAAAAGCGGAGGAAATTAGCAGAAAAGTTATAAAATTTACCTACACTTTTCCTCACTTTTCTACATTTTGTCTTCTACAAAGTTTGCAAGACTTTGGAGGAAAATTATTAGTTACACGTACTATTTATAATAACCGCCACTATCTATTTCGCCCAAAATTTTTCTTGTCAATCAAACATGTATAAGAAAGTGACTTTTCTTTTCTTTGCTCGATTTTCCTTCACCTGACTTTCTCACGTAACTTTACATCTAATCAAACAAAACCCAAGCCAAAATTTTATTCCAAACCATACTACCGTATTAGATGTCAACTAAATAGTACTTTACAAATTCTAATTTTAGCAAAATGTAAATACTTTTAAAAAAAAAAAAAAAAGTAGCCGTCTTGTTGCCTAGTGATGTTATAATGGTACTTTTATTTATCTTTTTATTTGTTTTTGTAACTTTACAAGGTGCTTATTTTGATAAGAAATCAATCGTAATCTTGGCAGATTGGGAGTGAATGTAAAGGGTTTCTTTGCTTGGTCATTTCTTGACGATTTCGAATGGGGCTTCGGTTATACCTTGAGGTTCGGTATATGCTATGTGGATTTCGAAGATGGACTGAAAAGATATCCCAAAAGCTCTGCCCTCTGGTTCAAGAAATTTCTCCGCAAGTAAAAAGACGGCTACTTTGATATGATGCACTTTTGAGTGGATCCAGAAATAGCTTGGGCATTTCAGAAAAAAATATTTTTCCCATAACTATATTTAAGAAGTATTTCTTCTTTCCTCTTTTTGGGGGAAGCAATCAGAATGTGCAAATAAATATCCAATTGCAATATTATCCTACTACTGGACTTACCAAATATTCTGCATTTTATTTTGGATCACCTAACCCTTCTCTAATTTTAAAAATTACACTAACCTCCTCATATTTATTGTTTGGATAATAAAATCTTCGAAATTACACAAATTTATATGAAAATCCTGTATTACCCTTCTCGTTAAAAAAAAGAAAAGAAAATACTCTCTTACATTCTTCTTTGTACCACCAAAACCACTAACACTATCATCTTTTTGCCTCTACAACAGCTACAAGTCCACCACTATTACCGCTGCACAGGTTGCCGCCTGGAAGGGTTAAAAAAACAATAGAAAACTCTCTAAGACTCTTTTGTTTCTACCACTAGAGCCACACCGCCACTAACAATTCCATCTATGTTATTACTATCATAATCCTATGGCATAACTTGTCGGACAAAACTAAAAAAAATAAAAATAAAAAACCAATAAGAGATGCTCTAACAATCAATCAGTGTTTTTAAAATCGAATCGGATCGCCAGTTCGACCGGTTAAATCGTGAACCGACCATAACACCGATCCAATTCTATACTAAAATCGAAAGTGACAAATAAATCAGTCAAGACCGGTCGAACTCGTCAAAACCGGTAAACCCAATCAAACCGGTAATTCCCGATTTTCAGTTTTCCCCTCAATCTTTTTTTAAGTTTTGCAAAATGCTAAATTCTATGTTGCAAAGGATCAAACTTGGGACCTTTGCTATAGAAGTCCAGAGTAGTAACCATTGTACCATCACATTTGATTAAACTTTAGTGATAACACATTTATATAAAACTTAACAACTAAGGCACAAAAAAGCAAAAAAAAAAAAAAAAAGTCTCTATACCTTGAAACCATGAGCTGCCCCTTCAAACCTTTATCTTTCTTTCCTCCGTTTCCTCTACAAAATATCATTCTCTCATGACTCTTTCTTTCTAAACTTCAACTCTCTCTCTCTCTCTCTCTCTCTCCTTTTTTCTTTTGTCACCCCTTTCTAATCTAACCTCTTTAGTTTTAATTTATTAATGTTTTCTTCCACTTTTTTAGTTCAATCTTTTGAAGTTTTCTTTCCTGCTTGTGTGTATTTGTTATGGTTTTTAATATTTTTTTCTCTATTTTTTATAAGTTGTCCTCTTTTTATTTGGATGGATTGAAGTTTCTTTTCTTGATTTGCAAATTTTTTTTGTTTGTTTGAGGGTTTCTTCTCATTTTGTCTTGTTTGAAGAAATTACAATCTAAAAAATTTTTTAACTCTATCAGATCTAACCATTAATAGTATATCTCGTAAATTGTGTAGATCGGCAATTTTTTTGTTTTTTCCTATTAAATTGAAAAAAAAAGAATTGATTTTCTTTAACCCTAAAGAAAATCAAGAAAATCAACCACTCACTTTCTTATCAAGTTTACATCTTTATTTTCAATTTTTCTGACTTCTTCCAAACCCCAAGTTTCTTTTCTTTTTTTTTTAAGCTACAATCTCTAAATTCCAAAAATATGAATTTAAATTTAAATTCATAATGTCTAATTCCCATAGACTTGAATTTTGTATAATTTCAAAATATTGTGATATTTTTGGGTTGGATTTAAGATTATTTTTTCGTAGATATGATTGAGATGAAATTTATTTGTTTCAACTTATAATTTAAATTTTTTATTTTTCAAAATATTAAACTTTTCATCACATAAAGTCTTAAATCAGTCCATTGCATGTCTTATTGCATGCATATATATTCATACAAATTTTTTTTAATTCATTGAATCATGATTGAATGAGTTCGACTAGTTGAATCTTGATCTGAACATATCACCGGTTCAATTAACAGTTCGAGTTTCAAAACATTGCTAACAATCCAAATCTCGCTAATGTTCAAAAAGCTACTCTACGCGTTTCTCACATTGGCTGCAAATCTACCTCCTGTTGTCTTTAATGCACCCTTCTCGATCTTTCCAATAATAGACAATGAAGAAGTTACTCAAGCAGAAGCACTAGCCTGTTTAGATTCGATCTAGTAGTCAGGCAAGAAATTTTGAAGTCTTCTTTACTATCATTTCTGAAAGCCACTTGTTCTGGTTCACTTTTACCTAGTAATAATAAAATCAAGTTTCACGATCATAAAGCTACTCTGCACGTTTCTCACAATGGCTGCAAATCTACCTCTCGTTGTCTTTAACGCACCCTCCTTGATCTTTCCAATAATAGACAATGAAGAGAGCAGTGATTGATTTGGTAGTGCATGATTCTCGTGGCAACCTAATACAGGAGCGCACTCAATTAACAGTCTTTGCACTTTCACCAACTCAAGCAGAAGCACTAGCCTGTTCAGATTCGATCTAGCGGTCAGGCAACAACATTTAAAATCTTCTCTACTGTTAGATTTAGTATTCGAATTCTATACTTAGTTAAAAATGGGAAAAAATGGGAAGGATATAAAGTAGGATGGAAAGGTAACAAAAAAAAACAATATGTACACACACATATATATGTATTGAATTGGGCTCAAACTTATTGTAATACTCTAATCTTGCATTTGTCTTTTATCGGGGAAAAAAGTGACCAAAATTGGGGACAAGAATCATTTAAATTCAAGTGGGCACAAAATTATTGTAAATTTGTAATGTTCTAATTGTGCATTGTTAACATTATGGCTTTTACCAGGGGAAAAAAGGTGGCCAAAATTAGGGACAAGAATCATTTAAAAGAAAATGCCTACATTAACTATTTTATGATTAAGGACTAAATAGGAACTTGTGTAATACTTGGAGTGTGGAGTCATTTACATAACATATGGTGGAAAGAAGCATTATTTAATTTCTAAGCATAAGAGATTTTCCTTTTTTAGGGAAAGAGATTATTGTTACAAAAATTCAACAGATAAATAAAATGTTCGATTTGGGGGTCCAAGGACTAAAAAATATCACTTGTGAAGAAAAGTAGATACCCCAAATAAACATTTATCTAAGAGTGGCAATGGGAGCAAGGGTAGAAATGAGGCAGGCCCTGCATACAAAAAAATTATATATTTATTTATTATTTATTTAAATTTATAAATATATATAATACATTTATATACACAATATAATAATTTAGTTATAATCCAATTGTTTGTTATACATGATAGACTGGTGACAAGTTTCTTCTATTATTTTGGCATCAAATGTCAGGGCTACTTTATCAAACGAGTTATCACATCTCGAGGTTGATGAAGAGCAAATGTTCTGAAGTTGTTGAGCTAGGTTGATGAAGAGAAAAACTGGACTTATTGTTGAGTGCCTTTAATTTGTTGAATATGAGAAATCAACTCGACTAAATTTGTTGAATACGGGAATGTAACTTGACTTCTTGTATTTTGTTTCCATCTTGATAATTTGTTAATTTTATTTAGTGTTGTTTACAATTGTATTATTGTAAGTGAACGTACAATTGTGACTTGATTCTATTACATCTCAATCAGATGTTTTAATGTCATTTTCATAGTATTGACAGGTTGTTAATCTTCTTTAGTTATTAGTATTTACAACTCATTGAATGAACTAAGATTGAGTACTTGAACATGTTTTTATTGAATATTTTGAGATGAAATGAATGATAAAATTGTTATGTAGATGAGCAGATTGTTAAATATAATAGTTGATTTCTTTCCCTGCAAGGAACCGCAGAGGAAACGAGACGGGGGACAGGGGATGGGGCGGGGGAATTGGCACCATTTCATTTATCAATACTAGTCCAGTGGCCCTGCACTATGCACCGAGTGGGCATATGTGACCTGTGCTATAATAGTGTATTTTGTTTTGTAAGTATTGATGTAGGAAATTATTTTATAATATGTAAAATAATTGTGAGCTAGTTATTTTTTATTAAATGAGGATAATTGGAAAGGATTATTGGTAGGTTATTGTATAAAATGTTGTTTAATGTCAAATAAAAATTTGGTATATATGTGCTGTGAAGTAGCAGAATATGAGAAAAGCAATGAATGGTGAAACTATAATTTTTATAGTTATTTTATATTGGAAAAACTTCTACAAGTTCGTCATCGAATATGTGCATCCAATATTCGTTCATTCTTAAATGGGAAATTATGAGAATATAGCCTGGTCTAATAACATGGTATCACAGTATTTTTTTTTCAGCCATAGGTTAAAAGATTATCTTCAACTTTGATGTCCCAACATTTGTGTTGACAGTAAAAGATGATTATGCTAATTTTATTTGGCAATATATGAGCAGTATCTTCTAGATGCAGTTCCTGCAGAATAAAATAGATGATTAAAGTAAACTTGTGTATTTTTTTTATGTGGATGGGTTAATATAGGTTAGAAAATTTTGGCTTACCAAGATTTCCATGTGTATGGTTATGACAACTACATAAAATGCGAACTTTGTGAGGAAAGTTTCTCTTGCAGAAAAAATGCTTGTAATTTTTAAATAGATAAATAGGAAGCTGCATTGTTCATTTGCATTTGGACAGGAGATTATTTGCCCAAATATATTTGCTTACATCACCATTACAATTTTCAATACACCTTTTTATCTTTTCAATTACCTTTTTATCTCACATACATCACATTACAAAAAGTGCTACAGTAAAAATATCTCAAATAATTTACAATCCAAACACACTTGTATTAGTAAATGTGTTACCATATTCCTTGTGCATATGTGGTTCAATAGGGTTGACATTCCATTTGTAGAAACTAGTGCAGTGATTTGGATTAAAAATTTGAACTCTAAATGTCATCACTCCAATGTGCCAAAAATGAAGCAGTGAATTTGGCTGCAGATTGTGATCTTCGATGAATTTTTTTCAACCAAAATTTTGAAGATTTTCATCTAGTTTTAGAAACCATATTTTATTTCCAACTTTAAATACTGTTGTGCTTCTTACGTGTGGTTCCAAGTAATGCATAAATTTTGCAGGTATGACCTGCAATTTAGATTTAAATATGCGTTGTATACGTTTTGGAGAAAAAATACATAAATTTGAGAAATTTTATAAATTTAATACCAATGTAT